TCTACTTGTTATCGCGTACATTACGTATAAATTTTGTTCATCGGATCCCCTATATTTATTTAATATATACTCACAGTTGCGAATAAAAAGATTTAATTGGTGCTTATCACCGTTGAATATAAAAAATAAGAAAACTATATAATATGGCAAGGAAAGGAAGGTGAAAATTTGGACTCACCAGCCGGCCTTCGTCATCTTCAGCTGCTCTACACTTGACAAATTTATATTGGTTCGCAGGATCGCTTCGCGGCACGAACTCGGTAAACGATTTTATTCGAATTTATTTCGCGGACGGCGCAAGCAAATGGCGATCCTACCGGCTGCGCCAGTCAAGTTAACGGGAGCGGTGGAGGCGTTTTTAAAAACTAAAATAAAACTAAGAGATGTCCGTACAGAAGCTCATGTACTTCAACAATGGCAAACTTATTCTAATACATCTTTCATGCAGACTTTATTACATTTGCTTACTCAAGTGACACGATATAGGCCACACACAGGGTGCAAAGTCAGCAATAGTATTTATGCACGTACTTGTATCACTCTGTGTGGGGTCGAATCCATGACTAGGTGATCACTTTGTATAGTAGAACTAGCTTAAGGTAAACAATGTAACGTGACTCAGCAAAGTGGTCACTTAACATCACTTGCTATGTCACGCCTCGCGCTGATTGGTCGACGCCGTTTGTACGATACGTACGCCGTATCTATTGACCCAGTCGAGGTGGTATAAAAGAGGGGCGATTTTCGTCGTTCGACACAATCGGCGGCCAGCTACCTCAAGAAAAACATCGAATATAGAAGAAAGAAAATATCTCAGCGGTTTTATTCTCCACCAACCCAGCACACAATTGTGCCTGTAGGGCACAGATATATACTTATGGCGAGGGCATATTCCACTATAGAAATAATAGTTATACAAATATCTATAATATCGACACACACTTGTCAAAAACGGTTTTGTCTCTTTTTAACAAAGCAGTAGCTGCAATAGAAAAGAGAGGCATCTACAGTTTGTAAAGTGCTTATTTTGGTAATACTTTCGTTTGACGTCATTAGCACACCTTGCGTGACTGCGCCGCCATGTTAAGCGCCAAGTTTTGAGGTAGATCTGCTGTCAAACTGTCAAAAAAGCAGTGAAATAGTGTCGTACACTCTTATCCATGGTGTCGATAGAAATTATTTTTATAAATTAATTTTGTTCAGAAATGAATATATAATAATAATTATAGTTTATAAATCCTGGATATCATATTTCATCTACCGTTTCATGAACATGCCAGATTTTCGAATTTTTAAATGAACAAAATTAATGTACCTGCGAAAATAATGATAATTTTCATTTAAAATTTGAATAAAGAAAATAAATATGATATCCGGCAGGAGCGAACATGCTTATATAACTTACCATTAGTGATCAATTATGTGTAGTACGTTCCTATATACACCAATTAATAATAAATAAGTATTGATTTTAAAAATAGTTTATTTAATTTTTACTCAACTAATCATTATTATTTTGTATTAAAAATATTATAATATGGGATTGCAATATGGAATCAAGGATCTCCATACATTTGTTTACTGTACAATAGTATTGTACAGTAAACAAAGGTATTTGGTATACAAGCAAATATATTCATTTTCCCACTACTCTGTCAATATTGATTTTTATTGTGTGCGTCATAACTTTTTAACTTTGTTCGCATTGATATAAAACAAAACGTGTGTGTGTGCTTATGTACGTACGTAAGAAGTTATATTTCTTTAGCGTTACAAAACAAAAATAACTAAAATAAAACACGTTTTACAAATTTATATATATTTGAATAAACTACCTCGAATAAAGTTATCAGTTCTCAAGAAAACTTAACAATTGACAGACAATTACTAATTGAAGTTGTAAAAAATTCACTCTCATCATTTTTCTCAAACGCGCCAAAAGAAGTATAACTTCAAAACTTGAGTAAGCACTTAGCACACTCAGAACATTGTTTAAAATAAGTTGCAAGTTAGCTACCTGCATACTTAACTCACTGTTTGACTGTGTACCTAACATACAAAATCTGTAGCAGAGTGTGCATTGCGTAAGTGTACATATGCGGTGAAGCCTCGTGAAGCAGCTACAACCTATAAAACCTACAACCCTATAAAACGCGGCCTTTTTATGCGCCAGATTTATTTAGGTAGTCACGCTAATTCTGTAGGTAGGTATGCCCAGTCCATATATAGAGGATAGAGGTTAGTCTTGGTTGGTCTTGATAGAGAGTAAGCATGGGCGTTTTCAGTTTTTGGCTGCATCGGTTACATAACCGATATTTAGTATTCATATCGTTATTGAAAACCATTTTCAAATATTGATATCAGTAGTAATGGTTTGCTACTGAATGCGCAAACGACAACCGAAACATAACCGGAAACTGTTGAACTTGTGCAACATTTATGTTACGAATTACTTCGATTATTTTAGTTTAGAAGTCAGAGGCTCTTGTATAATCTTAGATGTAATATTTAGACATGTATGCTAATATATAATTGATGATTGTTATACAGTAATACAGTATTATAAATGTCTAAATTTACATTATTTCTATCCTCATTTAGTTCTATAATGTTTATATTATACCCATATTTTTTTAAAGTGAGACGTAGGATCAGAGTTTGATTTCAAAGTCTATAATTAAACTGTATTCATAAGTAGTAAATATAATTTATATACATACATACATACACATATATTAATTTTATATATATATATATATATATAAAATTATTTTAGGTACATAGTTTATTTATTAATGATTATTTAAGTTAGTGATTTACCTTCATATACTTAACTAGGCTTAGGACTAGCAGAAAAGTTTTAAAACTAATGTACATAATGCAAACAAATATGACAAATAAATGCACAAATGCAACGTCAAAAATTTATAATTTTACAGATAATTTCATAGTGAACGGCACACGCCACCAAAGTGTCAAGTGTGTAATTGTTACGTTATGAAAAAAATCAAATTCTAAACTTTCCATCTAAAACAAACAAAAGTTGCCTAAACCAAATATAATGTGATCAAACAAATCTAAGTGTTGTGTCTACTGCCATAAAGATCATTTAAATCTGACAACTCTCACAACTACACAAACTCAACCTTTAGTCAATTTTAACCATTTAAAATTCGACCTTATTGTAAAGGATCTTATAATTATATTTCACTACGTGCACAGTTTTATGATAACTACCAAAACATCGCAACTAAATCCATATTCGCTTCATTTCTTTCATACTTATTTATGATTCCGTCGCCAGAACGAGAAACAACGAATATCAAAGGACACCGGTTAGTTTTGGGCCGTGTTCGTTCGTTACAGTTTACGTTTTACGTTTCGTACGTTGGTTAAGTTGGTTTTGGTTGGATGTGTGATATCGGTTATGTACTTGGGTTTATCGATATGATATGATATCGATCGCATGTCTAGTAGAGATTAATAATTGTGTTCTGACATCTGAGTATATTATATACTAGACTGATATACAGTAATCTGTGGTATATACACAGTATAGGACAGTTACTATACTCTTTGATTGATACACATGAATCTATGGTTCCATGGGAGTTTTGGTGGGAACTTGACCGGCGGCGGTTTGCTGCTCCTGTTTTATTGATTAAATAATGGTTTTAAGTGGACTTTGATATGTAAAAGTGGTGCGATTTTGTGTATTAAGTGTCTGCGCATGTGAACTATTAGTGGAAACTGTGAAACAAGTGCTCTGATAGTGATGTGATTCTCAAAATAAGGTGCCTGTCTGCTTAGGCGCCTTGAGATACCATCGCTAACCGTCAGCTGTCTGCTGGCTCAAGTTGCCATCAAAATCTTCCAAGGGCTGCACAATGTGACGCATCAACATATTGTGAAGCAGTATACTATGAAGAAAAATTATTACTTACTATTAGTAACTTCAGGCTCAGAAGGGCTAGATCCCAGAGCCGTAAAGCCAGTTTTTAAGAAGGAGAAGAAGTATGGTTCCATGGAGGTCAGTGAGTGACAGGCATAGTGACTAAATTTTATTTTCATTGTCATATGCGTAAGTCGTAAGTATCATATTAGTCTGTGATTTTCATGTTTATGTTTATAAAAATATGAACAGCCGGGCTATTCACAATCGTCTCGGAAAGCGAATTCGACTCGGATTCGATAACTTCTCGCACCGAAACTAATAAACGCTATTCACATTTAACGTTCGTTAACGAATTTTGTAGATAAATAGGCTTTTGTATTTTTTTAGAGTAACGCCTAAACAAAAAAATAATGCAATATTTTGGTGTTAGCCATTGATATCGAATATAAAAAATATATAATTTAACTATATAATAAATAACAAAAAAACTGAGATATGTCTCGTTTCACAAAGCAGCATATATATATATATGTATATATATACAATGTGTTAATTTTACACTTGATCAAACGAAATGTGCGGATACTAGATAAAAAATTATCGGTAAAAAATCGAAAAAAATTTTTTTTATGTAAACTGTTTAAAAAATAAAAGCATTTGAACTTTGTTTTTGTTAAAATTCCTATCCTTCGGTTTTAAATTATTTTCTCTTTAAGTAAACGGTGTATTTTTTTCAAGGTAGTTTTATTTGAAAGTTAGAAAGATTAACTAGCAATAAAAATTAAAAAAACCTACGATATCAAGCAGGAAATTTGTCAAAAAAATAATAAGATAATTTTTTTTGTTAAAAAAATACTTTTCTTTTTAATTTTTGGTCTGTAACTTCAAAACTAGTACGTTGAGATAACCTTTTTAGCATGTTTTATTAAACTACGTAGCTTACTGTATAAGTTCTCTAAAATAACATGCGTTCTATCTTTTTTCGTTGTTAAGATAATCACTAAAAATAAGGTAGGTAATCTGAGCACACAATTCAAAAGTGATTTAATAATGATTTAATTGTCAAAATTATGGAATAAAACAAAAGAAACCGTAGAAAAATGATTTAATTTATTAAATTTTCAAAATGACCACCATTTTCATCCATACATACAGTTGAACGTAATGCCACACTGCGTACTGTTTTTTTTAATACAGTACGATTTTCTTTTATTTGACTAGCCGCAGCCATTACTTTTTGTAACAATTCTTCTCTTGTACTAATTGGAGTACTGTACACAATCTGTTTCATGTGGCCCCACAAAAAAAAATCTAGGGGGGTCATATCAGGGCTTCGTGCCGGCCACGCTACTGGTCCGCCTCGTCCAATCCATCTGTCTCCGTATAGTTCGTTTAAATGATCACGCACGATGGTGCTGAAGTGAGCTGGAGCGCCGTCATGCTGAAACCACATCTTCCTCTTTGTTTGTAGATCCACATCACTCATCAGGTCAGGTAACTCTTCTTGTAGAAATGTGAGGTAAGCTGGGCCTGTCAACCTTGACGGAAGAATAAATGGTCCGATTAAGTAATCACTTATCATTCCAGCCCAAACATTAATCGAAAATTCGATTTGAAAGGACGCTGGCCGAACTGCTAAGGGATTTTTTTCCTCCGGCATCCACAAGTGAAGGTTTCGAAAATTTGTGATTCCAGTTCTGTTAAAATTTGCCTCATCGGTCCACAAAATACGGTCACAGAATTTCGGGACTAATCGTCTTTGCCGCAATAGCCACGAACAGAAAACACTTCTTCCGACGTAATCTGGCTCGTGCAAATTCTGCACTCTTCGAAAATGAAAAGGGTACAAACATTCCTTTTTCAAAATTTTCCACACTTGGACGTGATTAATCCCCAATTGGAGTGCTATTCGTCGAGTACTAATTGTGGGGTCTTGGTACACCAAACGCAACACTTGTTCATCCACATCCACCGGTACAGTAGAAGCACGTTCACGATGTGGGCGATGCAGTCCATTTTCACTTAATTCTCGATGTACTGCTAAGAAAACCCTGTAGTCAACGGCAGGTCTTGTCGGGAATCGCTGATGATACTCTCGAGAGGCGGCGCGAGCGTTGCCATCACAAAACCCGTAAATGTAATGAATGTCAGCTACTTCACGAGCAGACAATGAGTCTATCGTAGAAGGCATAACGACGAAAAAAATGGTGAGCGTATTCAACGTGCAAATTAGGTAACGTTACAAGATGAACTGTTTAAAATAGCTAAAGCTGCCTGCATGCCTTACGAGAACGAGACCCAAATTTCATTCAAACGACAATTCACTCTCTCACTCACTTGTTTCGCCTTTCATTGATCTATCTCTTTTTATCTTTACCTGCTATTGTTCCACCAGGGGTGTTCAAATTAGAGGTAGGTGGGGCGCATAAGCGCAAATCAACATACCGATGGCATTCTTTGATGATTATTATTTTAAAAATGAAAAGAGATAGAACGCATATTATTTTGGAGAACTTGTACAATAAGCTACGCAGTTTAATAAAACATGCTAAAAAGGTTATCTCAATGTACTAGTTTTGAAGTTACAGACCAAAAATTAAAAAGAAAAGTATTTTTTTAACAAAAAAAATTATATTATTATTTTTTTGACAAATTTCCTGCTTGATATCGTAGGTTTTTTTAATTTTTGTTGCTAGTTAATCTTTCTAACTTCCAAATAAAACTACTTTGAAAAAAATACACCGTTTACTTAAAGAGAAAATAATTTAAAATCGAAGGATGGGAATTTTAACAAAAAAAAATTCAAATGCTTTTATTTTTTAAACAGTTTACATAAAAAAATTTTTTTTCGATTTTTTACCGATAATTTTTTATCTAGTATCCGCACATTTCGTTTGATCAAGTGTAAAATTAACACATTGTATATATATATATATTTGTGATAGAAAACTTATAAAAACACACCTTTCACAAAAATTCAGCTTTACGATTAAGTGCAAATATTGAAGTAATTATATGAAAATACGTCTTATAGATAATTGTAATTAATTTTTGTTACCTACCTTATAATTAAAAGGGTTTATTTATCTCTTCTAATCATCAATATTCGAAAAGTTTTCGCCAGCCTCAGAGCTCTCGTAAAGTTTCCGATGCAAACTGTCACAATTATCGAAAACAAACGTTAAAGAACGCCCCATAGAAAAAAACCCAGACCCGAAAGAAACGAGACATATCTCAGTTTTTTTGTTATTTATTATATAGTTAAATTATATATTTTTTATATTCGATATCAATGGATAACTCCAAAATATTGCATTTAGTTTTTGTGCAGGCGTTACTCTAAAAAATTACAAAAGCCTATTTATCTACAAAATTCGTAAATGCATGTAACTAAATGACGATACAATAGTTATAGGATGTATCTAAGTGACCTTTATCCGAACGTTAAATGTTAATAGCGTTTATTGGTTTCGGTGCGAGAAGTTATCGAATCCGAGTCGATTTCGCTTTCCGAGACGATTGTGAATAGCCCTGCAGTTCTTTTTCTCTGACTAGTACTATACAGTTATCAAAGAGTATAGTAACTGTCCTATACAGGAACCACAGAGTACGTTATATATAGGGAAACAGGAACTTTTACAGATTTATTTACATATTCATGGATGATTCATGGACAAAATTAGTAATTTTGCTTCAGATTGAGATTCTTATTTCTTAACATTAAAATATAAATAATAAACATTTAGGATGTCTCACTCTCAAGAAGAACTTATGACTATGCTTAATGAAAAAATAAAATATGGATTTGAACTTATAGCCCAAATAAAACAAATAGAAGAACTTGATGGTGCTCTGAAATTGCAAAGAAAAATTCGACAAGAGATTGAATTTTTAAAAAGAGTAAATGCTTTATTGGTTTTTATAATATATTGTATATTTAATATTTTTCATTTCTCCCTGTATGAATTTAATTACATTAAATAAAATTGTGCAAACTAATTGTAAATGTAATCAATAAACATGTACTTCATATTAAAATAATTACAACAATGTTATGTTCAATAATTTTCAGTTACAAAAAAGTAAAAAGGCAAAAGTAGAGCAGTTAGCATGTTCAAACTTGAGGCATTTGAGTGCTTTGGTTGAGTGTGCTACAAGGCCAGGTGTTGTTGCTGTGTTAAAAATGTTTCATATTAATGATGAAAATAAATTGTTGATTGATATCATAAGTGATGATGGAAAAACATGGACTAAAGGTGAATAAAGAAATTGTGAATTTATTGCTTTAACATGATGTAATATAGCAACCAGTAAATAAAATATTATGATAATTTTAAACTCTGTCAATTGCAGTCATAGCTCGCAATCCAAAATCACTGTCAGCTCTTAGTTCTGGTAATTCATCATATGGTGCCCGATCAATTATAGATCAAGCACAAGATTATTTGGAGTGTGCTAAACTTTATCAATGTATGTACAGACCACCAAAGGTTCGTAAAATTAGTTCTGACATCAAATGTCTTATTTGGATCAATTCCTAAAATCATTTTTGACTGGAAATATAATATGATTTTAATGGTGCCCTTACATCCATTATTTCAGGTTGTCTTTGAGTTTGTGAGTGGGATTGAGGACTCACTAGCAAACAAATTGAAAGTACTTGGAGTTCTTGTTGAAGGTGAAATATTACCGGATTTTAAACCAAGTAAAGATGAAAATTATGATGAATCTTGGGAATCCAGTGATGATGAAGATCCTAACATTAGGTATGTTCACATAAAGTGCTCAACATTTTTGAAGGAAAGTTATAAAATAGTTTTTTTTAATACATCAACAAATTTTTGAGTTCAGTGCTGTCTATGGCATAGCCTCTTGACAATATACCAGCTGTTATAATAGTAAAGAGATAACTTTCAAAATTTCACCTATTATAGTGACTATGGAAAAATCTTGTGAGTTAGTTGCGTTCTTCAATTAATTTAAGAAAAACGTTTGAATTGAATTGAATAAATGGGCTGTTTTCCGTAACTCCATGTCTAAGCGCGTATTTTGCGTGTGGGCAGGAATAATGTATTTATTCAAGCCATGAAATCTCCCCGAAGAAGTTCAACAGTCCTTTGATGTTGCATCTTCGGGGAGTGATCCCGGCGTGCTGAGATGTTTAGCCCTGTATACAGTGACTTCCAGACACTCAGACTTCAGCAACACATGCGCTGCCGTTTCTTCCTCCCCCATACATGCCTTGCACCGGGGACTGTCAGTAACACCTATGGTAAATAAATGTTTGTTGAAGTTACCGTGTCCTGTGATAGCACTTGTTACTATTCTGATCTGTGGCTTGTTCAGTCTCATTAGAACCTTGGCTAAACAACTGTTTATTTCAGGCAGAGCCATTGTTGTGTTTACATACCTCATTTAATCATTGATGGCATTCATATACTAGTCCTTAGTTCACCACATTGCAACTCAGAGCTTGTAGTATCGCCCTACTGTTGGTCAGTATTCTGATGGAGAAGTCATTAACCTTTTTAGCATCTATTGCTATGGCCTCTTGAATGATACCCATACATTCCGCCTGAAAGACTGTGTTGTAGGTAGGTGTGCATATGTTATTATAGTATAAATGAATATATTATCTAATATATATTTTTAGATGTGGTAGAGCCATGCTGCAGCTATATTAGTAGTATAGTTGTAGCACGAATGGGTCAGCTCGACCTGGGAAGGACCACTGTTCGCCCCAAACGCTAATGTCAAGAATCGACGCCAGAGGGCACTCGGCTCGGTGCGAACTGGTTTGAAGTTCGGCCGAGCGTGGCAGGAGCGCGCGAGTCGCGAGCGAAAAAGCAGTCGCCTGTCAGCTGTGCTAACGATTGGCACGCTGCCAGTTAAGCGCGGGAACTCGGAATAATTAAGCGCGGACAGTAAAAATACGGTCTAGGAGTTTTGTGGCGCGTATCCCTACTGGAGAGCTTCCCCGGGACACATTGTGTCTGACTCAGAATCTGCATAAGTGCATTCGGCAATATTAGATAGTGCGGCCTCTGATATTCTAGAATTAACTGTTGCTACGCGAAACGGTAGTGACCTTTGACCCAGAAACTCCGTGCGCGTTTTTTGCGGTAACCATTATACCCAACGATAGTTAGTGGCTTCTGTAAGTTTGTTAATCGCACGATAGAGCTAATTGACTGTCATCGTGACGAACGAGGAGAGTGAATGTGGACAACGCCTCGGAGGGCCCCCTCAAGTTGGAGCGGTGTCGCGACGCCCGGGCTGCTGCCGACGGCTAAGATCTAGGTTCAATCACCATCAGTCACACCCAATTACACATCACATCACCCTCTTTTCCTTGCACTACACAACCACATGCGACCTGACCGACTCCGGAGGGACCAGTCGCCTTGGATATAGGTAAGTAAGCTTCGTCCAAATTTCTTCCGGTCGACTGGCCGTAGTATAACGCTCCCCCATATATTTTAGGGTAATTATAGAGATTCCACGTGGCCACACTGAGGCCCGACCTACGTCTGCTCGGGAAGTCTTCAGCTCATGGGCTCCTGAGGCTCTGACCCTTTAAGGGAGCAGCCGTAGGCCGTAACAACCACGCTCTCACAGAATACCAACGTAAAATAGCAGCATAACGCTACTGTGTTTCGTATGGTGAGTGTAGAGAACCGGAGACCCTTTTTTACTGGATACGAGGCATTTCATCTTAGTCCTCACGGGTGACAACGCATCTGCATTTTGATTCGTAATCGAGGATAGATGTAGATGTCTATGGGCCACAGCAACCACTTACCATCAGGTGGACTGTGTGCTCATTTATCACCCTTATTCTATAAAAAAAATATGGTTGATAATAACCCCTGGGAATGAGGTGGTCGCTTCCAAGCAAGAAACACTAAAATAAATTTTGTACCAACCATTAATGTAAAATATGCTTTTATAAAAAAAAAATCCCACTGGGTTTCTTGCTGATTCTTCCCATGACAGAAGGTTTTTTTTTTCGAACCAGTGGTAAAGTAAGAAATGACTTTCAATAAGAATTACACATGTGATCTATATTGAATAAAAAATTATTCTATTCTATTCTATTCATTTAATTGTATCTTATACTTCTTATCAAATACAAATAGTTTATGGATCTGATTGTACTTGGCTTGTAAGATTTTTGATTTTTGAGTGAAT